CCTGAGATTTGGATTCTGTATGTTTTTGTCAGGACCTCAACCTTTGTCAACTTGGATAAATAAGAAACTGACCCAGAGTGTCAGCAGACAGTACCTGTGAGGATTTCAGCTACACGTTCTGTCATTTTCTGAATCACGAGTCTCAGGATTCCACTCTCCAGGCTCAGCAGCAGGGTCCCCGAGCCTTCAGACAGCTCTGTGGACAGAAGCAGACCATCCTTGTTCCATGTTCGAAACTGGAAACTCACTGAGAGCCCATCAATTTGGGGGGTGCCGGGCAGCAGCAAATAGCTGCCGCTGGAGTTGACAAATGTGATGGGCACAATCTGTGGTTCGGAGCAGGAAAAAGTGACATTGCCCTGGAAAACAATAAAAGTCAAACATATAAAAGCCATTTTTTATTCTGCAATCTGACAGCTGATATAAACGACCACCTGGGAGTGGACCTTAATTTCAGGATCATTTCACATTCAGCAGCAACATCTTAAAGAAGAAAAAAATGTCGGCTTTGTTCAGACACACTCACAAGATTATTTTCCATTCATATGTTAAGGATCACAATGCTATCTGCAAAGAGGGCCATCCGAGAGTCCCAGAAGGAAGGCGGATGGAAGCATCCACACACTCTAAGGGTTGTAAAAATAATTACATTTACTCATTATATAAATACCTATGACAAGTCAACTATGTGCCAAGCTCACAATGTGGACACCAGCTCCCACGGGAGCCTGGCAGGAGAAATAACTGGACAAGCGAAGGTTATGTGAGGGAAAGCAAAACAAAGGAAGGAATTAGGAAAGGGGTGGAGTACTTTGACTAGCCTTTTCAGCCAAGGGCACTGTTTGTGCAAAGGCTTGAAGAAATTAGCAAAACAGCATCCCTAAGGAATTCCCGGGAACCTGCCATTTCTAAGTAGTTAGTGGGACAGGAAGATCCAAATAGCCTAAACGAGGTAAGTCTGGAAAGGTTAGTAGAGGCAGAGCTGGAAAGTCGTCTGCTGCTTCCTGAATAGTTTTCGTTCAAACTCAGAAACAGTGCAGTGACATGGGCCAAATATTTAACTTAGTAAAAGTATTTTCAATAACATAGATGAGGAGTGGATGAGAAGACTGGTCTCGGGGAATATTAAGTGTGTATTGAACCCAAAAGAAGAGTAAGAAGATTATTCTTTGCATAGCAAAAAAAGGTAAAGATGCCACAAGAGGAACGCCCTAACCTGAATGGCTACCTGAATTTAACTTTCCACCGCGGTGGCCAGGTGGCAGAGTTAGATACGTAGTGTGGTTCTCAGTCCTGGAGCAGGGGTAACGGTTCAATTCCAAAATCCTCTACCCAGAAAAACATCTGTAGGTCCCAACCATGTTTATTTATGATAGTCTCGTATTCTTGAAAATGAGTAACAGTCCCCAAACAAACTTCTACCAGTAGCACATTTCTAATGATTCATCCATCAATCACAGTGCTATGAGCATATTATTGCATGAATCATTTGTTGTAGTTGTTTAGATGTTTTCTTCCCTTTAGGCTAGATCCTCACAAGTTAATTAATGTGTCAAAGGGTAAGGCCCTTGATATCCATCAAGCAATCACCCACAGTATATATCACTCCACTGTGCCAGGCAATAGGATAGGCACTTTGATACATATCTTGTGAATTCTGCGCAACAATGCCATAATGGATTATTTTCTTCATTTAAAGGATGCACAAACCAGACTTAGAATAAATAACTTAGCAAAAGTCACCTGCCTAGTTAGCAGGGAACATGGAAGACAAACCCTTGTTTGTCTGACTTGGAGGCTTTTGCTTTTAGCCACCATCTCTGATACCTCCATCCTCTGCACTGAGTGGCACCATTAAAAAAAATCCACCAACTTGCTCTTGGTATCTCACAGTTGTTTTAATTTGCATTTTTGGATCTCTGGTAAATTCACTTTCGAGAATAAAAACATCACCAATGATGGCCAACTCATCGTGGCAGGGCTGTCTTTTGGAAGAAGCCAAATCACACATGCTCTGCAGAGAAGCTAGGAAGTAGTAATAACTTTTATTTATCTTTTTCTTTCCTAAGGTCAGTATCATTTTTGTAAAAACAAATCTGCCAGAGCATAGCTGCATTCAAAGTCTGAGGTTGTGTAGAGTGGGAATGTTCACAAAGATGAAGAAGGCAAAGGCATAGGAGGTTGCGAAAGTATCCCCTTGCCCCGAGTTATCTAACACCCAGTTTAGCTTCCCCCAAACCCTCTTCTGAGTGTTCTCTGGATCAAAGCCATGGAAGGCGGCTTCAGGACAGTGGGGTGCTAGAGGACCTGAGATTCTTTCCTTATTTGATCAATTTGCTCACATTTGAGCAGAGGTCTGGCTCTCTTTCTTCAGTCTCCCTTCATTTCATTGTTTAATTGGCCCAACTTCTTGCGCACAATTCAGGGTTGCTCAGAATCTAAGGAGTTCCTGGATTGGTCCACCAGAGCAAGGGCTTTAAATAAACACCTTCAGAGATTGTCACTGTTAAGATAAGGTTGTGAATGGGGATGCACACCGGAAAACTTTGAAATGCATTGGGATATGCTTTCTATCCTTGGACAGTTTCCTCACTCACCTTAGGCCAGCTTCTCTCTCCCTTCCCCCGATTCCCTTCACACTTCCCTCTATCATTCTTGCCCCTATGCAGCCACTCCAGCTGTCTAAAACTTCTTTGTCTTTAGCGCGTGCCTCTACTATATTCTCCAAGGGCAAATCCAAAGGCAAGTAGAAGAGAAAAGATGTGGGTGGATGGGAAATTCCTTCTGCACAGAATCTGACCCAGCTCTCTGGGCGCACGTGAATGTTTGCTGTTCAGCTTCCTGTCACACAGCTGCTGTGTGCCACTTTTCCGACAGTCCTGTCTCAGCTGTGCTTACTGCTGGCAGAAATGACGTACGGTATTGAGGGCCATTGGTGCCACCTCCATTCACCAAAGTGAGGCGAAAAAAGAAAAACGAGCTGCGTGTAAAAATGCTACTTTTGAAATCAACATGGACTGACCATTTTCAATAGTGCCATTTGTGTCTCCAGAATCTGTCTCAAGACGGCATTTGAAGAAGTTCCCGCTGGCCATTTAGAAAAGCCATGAGAGAAGACATTACTTTAGAATTGTGTCAAAGGAAACATGGCAAATGGTCAGTGGCCTATATTCTACCCTATATACCTTTTAATCCCTTTCTTCAAATATCATTCCTCCTAATCCCAAGAAGGGCGCTTCATTCCCCAAAACCCCTTTGTCCCTCTGTATGTTTAATTCCATTTAAGGTTTCAACATTCATTCAAGATTTTTCAAATATTATAAAATTGTGCTAAGCACAAGTTAGTTGTACACATAAATGTGACCTGATCCTTTGCATGCTATAGTAATTCAATTCACTTTATATACTTACTCTAATTTACTGTAATTGGTACAAAGTATGTCTGGCAGGGAAGGGTGCATTGATCAAACCTTCAAGGTAAAACCACTGGCTTTGACTTCATAAGTGAGACTGAAAGGAGGTCAGTGAGCTACCATGGGTCCTTTTTCCCTCCCTATATTTTATAAGAACTATAGGGTCTTTCATTGTCCAAAAAGGAAGTCACTCTTTAAGGAAGGAATGAAATTCTTGCTGTCTGAGTGCTTTTCCTTACCACACTCCTCAAGCTCCAGTTGAACCGTGGACTCCTCTGTCTGACTGTGACTGCCATTCAAGATGATAATGAGACCTCCCCAGGGCAGCAATTGCCACAAGTCACTGGTTCCTACAAGTGTGGGTCTCCTGTTGTTCCTAAGATGGTAATTCTTAGTGCCCTATAGTTTCAATCTCATATGTGCCCCTTCTCCAACAATCAAGGTGTTCAGAAGTGCTGGGCCAAAGATGGAGTAGATGTTTGCCCCTGGGGTTCCCCAAACTATGTCTTTTTTTTTTCTGACAAAAGACTCTTTCCTTGAGCTAACTCTAGTCAGGCTCCTCTGAGTCCTCCTTTGGACTAGGTGTGACGTTGGGCTCTGTCCATGGCCCATTTTTTCCAGTTTTAGCAAGAATTCTGCAGAGTCAGAATACAAAACCTCCCACCTTGGTCTGACCTCCTTGGATATATTATCACACTTGCCTGCCTTCAACAAAGCTCCTGTTGGGCTAGTTTAGAAAGAAGTACCCCACCTCTAAGTAATTTTCCATTCCCTGACCCCCACCCTACTCCGTAGCTATAAATCCCCACTTTTCTTTATTGTGCTCAGTCTTTGCTCCCACTATAAAACCCCATTTAGTAGCCCCCCTTATCATCTTTAACAATTGTAATGAATATTTTTTTCCAACACTTCTCTACAGACTCACTACAGTCTTTTCTTGGTCAGCTCTGCTGTGCCATGCAGTGCCTGGATTAAACATTATTTCTGGGTGCGTCCCTGTGTGCTTCTGGATGAGATTAGTATTAAAATTGGTGGACTTGGCAAAGTACAGTGCGCTCCCCACTGTGGATGTGTATCATCTACTCCGCTGAGGGCACAGAGCAAAATGCAAAGGAAGGAGGAATTTATACCTTTTTGTTTCCTTCCTCCCTGCTTGATCGAGAAATTTCATCTCGTCTTCTCCAGCCCTCTGGCTGGGATTTACACCTTCTGGTACTCAGGCCTTCAAACACAGACCAGCACTGACTTTCCTAGGTCTGTAAATCATCGGTCTTCCCAGACTCTGTAGTGTAGTGAGCCAATTTTTCATCATAAATCTCAATCCCTCTTTCAAATCTATTTCTCTTTCATATTTGCATTTCACATATATAGAGATCCTGGCCCTACTTTTCTGGAGAACCCTGATTCATACCAATAGCCATGTAGGAGAGTGAGGAAAGATAACAGATCCATGAGAAATTTGCAGGTACAACTGATAGAAGGTGCTGACTGGGGAAGGGGCTGGAGGGGCAAGCATGGTTCCCATTCTTCCCTGACAGCACAATGGATTTCAAACAGGAAAGCACACATGGCTGCTGACTACTGATAGACCATCACCTCCCTTGGATTGTGTCCCCGGTCATCGGCACTACCCTCACTAGAGTGAGGAGATACACTAACAGCAAAGCTGTCCTCTAGACACACGCTGTGCCTTCCTCCCTCCACCAGGCATGACCTCTTCATTCCTCTGCACCCTCCACCCCCACTTTTGCCCTGCAGGGCCCAGTAAGCCTTCTGGACTTGCCCATGCCCAGTCCTTCCCTGACATCCATCTCACAGTGGCTGCCTTCTCCACGGGCTTCCAGTGGTGTGTGCTACCTGTGGAAATCTATTATATTTCTTATACTGCCTTGTAATAATTAGCTACTTTTTGATAACTGCCCATGCCTTACGTAATAGGTTTACAA